TGCTAAATTAGAGACGGCTAGCGCAGATAGCCATCGTGTAGCTTTGCGCGACATTCAAAAACAAACAAACACTTGAAAAATCCAAATAGTAACTGTTATTCTTTGATTTTTTTTTGTGATTTTAGCCTAAATTTAGTTTATCCAGTAATACTGCTCACCCATGCAGTGTAACGAAAAAGGGGAAACTAATAATTACTATTACGCCTGAGTCATACATCACGATTCAGCTGAGATAAGAACAAGCTTGAAATCATACATACACCTTAAATAAATGGCAGTTATTTTGCGAATGTTGATACTTAGGTTTGTTTCAGTGTAAGGTTGAACAACGGTTTACCTATTAATTTCATATATCTGATCTTCGAACCTGGTCCTGTCACCACGGTCTTTCTCAACAAGTTTACCGTGAAATTCAGTGGATTATAAAATAAGCAGAGATCTACACAATGGCTCTTAAGAACTTTTTATTTTCTTTATATAAATACCTTGGACCTCAACGTGTATGTTAAAACTGGTTTAGTGTTAACATACGTAGATAAAATACTCATTAAATCGACGAACTTTTAAAGTACGACGTACAGCCTAGTGCCAGTGACCGGGGAAAAGGCACACATATCCGGTGTGGCATTATACACTGAGTCGAACAAATCCTGCTGTCAACACCAGACGATTAACCACACGTTTGTGTTTGTTTGTTTGTTTTGTTTTTATATATAACTCAGTCTTTCACGCATTAAGCACAATAATACTCACTCGCGAATTTTTTCTGCTTGTTTCTTTTGTTTCTCTAAAGTTCGTGTGAATAACCTACACTTGGAGTTGTGAACAATGTGAAATACGTGTTTTCATGCTTTTTGTTGGTTTATATATATGCGTGACTCATTCAACTTGAACAACTGACGTGTTTAATCTCACGTACGAAACTATAAATCCGAGAAATTCTACTAAAACATTTCAATGAAAACTAAGTGTAATAAAAACAACAACTTAAATTGACATTGTAATTAGGCCTATGCAAAGATAGCCTAGAAAAAGCGTTGATACAAGTTGATGACGCATATTCCGCGGCATACAGTTCTATAAATTAGAGAATTATAAATATATACATTTTTTGTCTAATCAAAGCTAAATAACAGTGCAGGCTGAATATTAAAAAGTTAAATATAAGTATTTATTAAATATACATTTTATGACACACAACTAAATTACTTTAAACTCCTAAATCTTAAAACTGGCAATATTTTGTAAAAAAATATAAACCCTATTATTTTACTCTGAATGGTACGATATATACAAAATGACTCCTAACTGATTTTGAATCAAACACATTATTATTATAAAATTCGCTTCTCGTTTTGAATGAATTTTGATATAGCCTTAGTAGGTTAAAACTACAACTATTTATGTTGTATCCCATCAGGCCTGGTATTAGACGAAAGGCTTCATTGGCACTGGATATAGCACGAAAAGTGTAGTTGACATATCGTTATACACGTATTTATACACTGTTTTCTGATGAGACAGACCAAAACATTTTTAAAATCTTTGGCTCTATATTTTTTAATTGTTGTCATTTAAAGTGATAGACCTAGTTAATTCTCACTATCAACAATGTTTACCTAATTACATTTTTTATTATTTTTTCATGGATCACTGTTTTACAAATTTAAAAAAATATTTATTTTTCGTTACAACTCTAGTGACTAAATCATCTAATCTGGTTAGATGATTTTTTAATTAAGAATTTTTCCGATTGAACAAAAACTCAGAAATATTTTACTCACCATAGCTTACGGTTGCAGACGCTGCATCAGTTTTAGCAGCAGATGTCGCTGCTCGTGCCAAACCTAATTGGCCCTGGCGTCCTCCAATAACCATCTTCTTCACACCACTCAAACAGATACCAATTCGCTTGATATTCTGAGCCATTGATTTCTTGAAGTCGACAGCTTATAATACTAAACTTCGCAAACAAAAAAAGAAAAAACTAATAATATTAAAAACATGTAAAATACATAAACATTTTTATAAACAAGTTAATATAAAATTAATTTTTCAACGAAATTGACATAGTACATGTTAGAAAACATTATTACGGTAACAATGCAATTGGTGGCGAATAAACGGCTGAAAAATTTGTTGTCTGGCAACAAAATTAATAAATTATAATGTGTTACCAAATAAGGGTGTAATATTTTAACGAGAGTTAAAATGGTAAAGTGTAATATTTTAACGAGAGTTAAAACAACAAAGTGTGATATGTTACAAATTATTTTTTGATTCGAGTGCTATATTTGTTTGTTTGTAGTTAAGCATAAAATTACACTAAGGGCTATCTATGCTTTGCCCACCACGGGTATCAAAATTCAGTTTCTACGGATAGTAATATACGCCTAAATACTTCCTTCAAGGAGGTAAGAGGAATTGTGATACTTTTAACCGGTAGATGGAGTGAGCACAAAAATCCTTTGGAGTAAGTTTTTAAATTGTTTGTTTGTTTTGCATTTCGCGAAAAGCTACACGAGGACTGTCTGCGCTAGCCGTCCCTAATTTAGCAGTGAAATATTAGAGGGAAGTCAACTGGTCATCACCACCCTCCGCCAACTCTTTTACCAACGAATAGTGGGATTGACCGTCACTTTATAACTGAAAGGGCGAGCATGTTTGATGGGACGGGAATTCGAACCCGCGACCCTCAGATTGTGAGTCGAGCGCCCTAACCACTTGGCCATTTTTTTTATTGTGAAGAGTCTTTATCGTTGATCTATTTTTCTTTCTTAACTGACTTTCGTAAAGGCTTAGTTTAGTCATAATTTGTAAAAAAACAACGAATGTATGTCTATTGATATAGGAAATAATTATTCATATCTTTATTTTCCAGTAAACGTAACTGAGACATTTAATTAAGCGATATACTTAGAGAAGCCATTTATCAGTGTAGGCTAATTTCAAAACTTCATTTAGTTAAAAGCTTCGATTCCAGTCATTTGGGTGTCCAAGCGACACAGCAGTAAGTCTGAAGACTTATAACGCTAACAATCGCGTTTAGGTATCCATGGTGAGAACGGCACAGATAATCTATTCTGTAGCTTTGCGCTAAACTACAAATAAATAAACCAACAATTTGGATCATCACGCGGTCACTTAAATGTAGTCCTTTTTCACATTTTCTATGTTTTAAAAGTAAAAAAGAAGTTAATTATTTACTTCACGTTGCTTAGTGCCTACCACTAATGCTGACAAAGTGTAAGCTCTTCTACACTATGAGGAAACATTCGGATAAAACTGTACTCCCTTTAACCGCTTACATCATTCCTCGACTAAACCTTTTATTGGCATGTTACGAAGTGAGGTTTACCCAAAACAAACAGCTGTCACTATGTTGTGATTACAGTCAGAAGATCTGTATTATATAATCGGATAAAGTGAGACACTTTCTTGTCATCGGTGTTTATTACCACATGATGAAAAGAGAAGTACATTTTTGTCTTTGTTTCAAAACGTCAGCTTAGTAAGTCATCATTGCAGGTTTGTTTTTTTGTGGAGAATAGACAATGATGGTTATCATATAGCCATTCTAGTCTCTTAATAATACTTTTATTCTGTTAAGGCCTACTGGTTTTTATTTTAAAAAAATTTGTGAAAGAAAATTATACTTACACGTGCAACGCTAGAATCCGGGTTTCGATACCCGTGGTGGGCAGAGCACAGATAGCCCGTTGTGTAGCTTTGTGCTTAATTACAAACAAACAAACAAACTTACACGTGTATCTATATTCTCCCAATCTCTCAACTCAACAGCTTCCAAGCACAATATTACACATTCAAGAACAGCTTTCTCTGTCTAGCTAACTGATAAAACAGTATTTTTTTTTCTCTTCTGATACAAAAAAATGTTTGCAACGTTATCATAGCTTTCACACGAGAATTCACACAAGAATTTGAAGATAATACGAGGGGAGACGCCAAACACACACTTTATTTGATGCGGTATGTCGGTCCATTTTAATTAGTTTTATCTGATTATTATTCTTCAGTGCTGTTCATGTACAAACTCACAGCTTTATGTACTAGCCGTGAAGAAGCCGCAAAGGCGAAACGTTGGTTAAAATAAAAGTTATCTTATAATTACCTTAGGTATAAAGGTAGTCTTTTTTAACTTTATCATAGTTTAAAGTATATTCAGTATGAAGACTGTATTTCAGTTGTTTGAAGTGGTTCACGCTAATGCTTTCAACAGTCTTCAAATAAGAAGGAAATGTGTTCTTATCGACAAACGGTTTATATCTTGTCAACTACGTCTTTCGTATCTCCTCAGCATCTCCCCTAAGTGCTGTGTAATGTTCTCATACACTATAGCTTGTTTATGGATGTAAAATAGGTTCATATATTTTCTTTGGATAAGGAATACTCAAGGCCTTCGTGCAGCTGGCTATAAATAAAAAAATGGGCCCCTTGCTTTAGGAATTCCTATTGTCACCCCTTTCTCGCTACGAGTCACCTTCTACCCTTCCCTCTCAGCTCATGTTTCTTCATCAAACAAGATTGTAGCGTGCATCCCTCTATTCTTTTTTTCGCCCCGTAATGGCACAGCAGTATGTCTGCGGACTTAGAACGCTAGAATCCGGGTTTCGATACCCATGGTGGGCAGAGTACAGATATCCCATTGTGTAGCTTTGTGCGTAACTACAAACAATCAGTCTTATTTTACAATTTGTCATTTGCTTTACATAGACACACTGGGTATCTCCCCCCCCCCCCAAGTTTTGGGGTGTCTGACGCGCCGAATATTGGTGTATGTTGATTTAGTTTATTCCAGTCGGGTATAATAGTGCATAGAGGTTATTCCACGGAAATAATTTTATGTTGATTTTTTTAATGAGCACACATTAAAAACACCAGGGCTTTTATCACGAGAATGTCACTCTTAAACGTGCTATATTAACTTCTAGAACAAGCACTACAACACGTGCCTCGTAGTGAACAAACATGGTGTTATTATAATTAACACTTCGGGGGACAAAACTGGGCTTGTTCAGTGCACGAGAAGTCAAACTTCAAAGATAAGGTATTACTCCAAAAGCTTAAGTTGTTTTTCATCAGCGTCTTTTGTCTCGTCCCCCTCGACAGCAACAGGTCATAATGTGTTTTTATTCTAAAAATAACACTCTCCCATCCACCCTGAGGATTTCGAGGTCTGTAAGTAGTTAAGTCGGAGCTTTTGAAGTAAATTATTTACCCCCAAGGCCACACAAAGATTATTTTTTCAATTCCATGATGGTTGAGAAAATACTTAAAAATATTAAAGCCTTTAGTCGAAAGTTATACTAAGATAGTGATTGATTTTTACATACATAATATGTTTGTGATGACGATGAAGCTTTATATTAAATGCATCTCAGATATACTAGATGCAACTACTTATGGCATTTAAACAGCATTGAGACGGTAAAAACGCCAACATAAATCGTCTTTCACATGCACAGAGCTTCAAATAATAAACCCGCCATTAACGCCATTAACTCAGTGACCGGGTGCATAAAAAAAACTTTCACAAAGGAAAATATTTCATACGGTTAAAGCTAAAAATGTACAGAAATCAAATAATAAAAATGGAAATAATTCCAGTGTAGGCGTCGTTATTTCTCATTTAACCTTTAACAATAATAAAATTCAGTATAAATTAGGCTTAGGTTGTCTGGTGATGAAAACACTTAGGCCTACATCTGCGGTCAAATGAAACAGTTCCAAAAATATGAAGAAAAAAAATAAATTCAACAAAGAAATTTTGCTACAGTGTTACAATATTTATCGCTAGGCAGAAAGAAAAAAAAATGAATAAATAGAAAGATGCACAAATGACTGACTTTCCTTCGACTATTTTAATTATTTCTGAAGTTTCGCTTTTATAAAAACTTTGTAAAGATATAAATATATAACTTGCCTAGATAGATGTTTGGTTGTAGAACATTTTGATTAGCTTCTTCTACTACACTGCTACTGACTTTTACTTACCTAATATATATTCAGTTGGATGACGTTTCGGTTCGCTGCTACTACTGATTTTCATTTACCAAATAAATATTTAGTTGAACGCCGTTTTCTTCAACTTTTATTACTGATTTTCACTTCTCAAATATATCTTTAAACCAACTTTGTAAAGCTTATATGACTATACACTTTCAATCTTGATTTGAAGGGAATTAAAAGTTACGCGTGTTATTTAAAGACCTAATCTTTGGTACGTCTAACTCAGTAAACAGTTCGTTCAGTGAAGTGCGTGAAATGTTTTGACAACTTTTCAACCCAATAAACTTACTTTATAGGTTAAACGCTTATTCAAAAAACTCTTGTGAATATTGTTTCAAGGACTCAGAAAAAGTTTATATAAATAGGTTACACAGCGTAACTTCATAAACAACTTTAGAACGAAAGAGAAATTTTATCAGGTCAAGACCTTCATCAGTCTTTCAGGTAAAATTGGGTCTGTTGGTCACTGGAACAAAGCACGTTTTGTACCTATTTTCTTAATAGAAAATTGGACATTCAGTTTATGCACGTGACCGTGAACACGCTGGCACAATATGTGCATGTCAAGATGTATTAAGTAAGATGCTGTAACACAAGTTTCACGTTTCTTAGTGTTAGGTTTCTTTGCATACTTGGTCTACATTTAATCGAATATACACTGACTCAGTCTAGTAGTGATTTTATTTTTTTACGTTACCGGCCTGGTTTAATTGTGTATTTTTGCTTTCACAACGTAATAAAATTTATTTGATTATCTTTTAATTTTTCAACTCAGCAAAAGATACTTTGTGTCACTGTAAAAGTCTTTATACAAACAGGCGTGAAATAAGTAATTTAAAAGCAAAACTACTTCCTAAAATATATTACAATAACTAAACCTCAAAACTTCGTGACTCAAAGATAACGTACTTTAGAACCACACTACGAAACAATCATGTGTAGCGTTTTAATAACATGGCAAAAAAATATTTAATTCTTAGTTATCATTATGAGCTAACGAAATTTTAGAGTGATAGATAAGAAACAAATTTCTTTGTTATTTATTTTGAATTATTTAAATATGATATGTAAGTTTTAGCTCATCTGTCTTTTTATCCAAATTTAGGCTTCTCCCCCTCCCCCCAATAAAACATTGTTGGGAATCTTGGATGCTTCTCATCTCATCTATTGCCCCATTAAAAAATGATATCAACTTCACAGTGTTTTCGGGAAAGTTAGCATTTTCCCTCATTTTCCAAGGTAGAACTTGCCATGAAATAGTGGTCAGGCCATGGCCTAAGTGGCTTTACCGCTTCCTACAGCCCTGTAGAAAAGTCGCCATATTTAGAAAGTTATTTCTAATTTTCGAACGTAATCATCATAAGTTCAGCCTTTTTACGAAAAATATTGTCTGTAATTAAGATACTTCAAAACTATGAAATATATTTGCTGAGAGCAGTTCCATTTTGTTATAGCATCTTGCCCCCAAAGTCTCAAGCTTTATAATATCCATCCGCGTGTAAATATTGAAGAAAATTCGTTGTATAGTCATGAATAAAATGCAAACGTAAATCACGAAGAAATTGGAAAAGTTACTGCTTCTGTATTATTTTTTTATAGATTACACGTAATAATACTTGATATGATATAATCAAAACGTTATGGAATTTTATATCTTTGATTACAAGCCTTGCTCAGCGCAGGTTTCCATAGACGGAATACGATCTACTGTGGGAAGGAAAAAAATGAAACGTGGAAAGAAAACGCAAAAGCTTTGGAAGTGTATTGTTACAATAGATATATACTTTAAATTACAACAGCACGCCAAAAAAAGGGGGGTCTGAGCTGTATATAGTATAATATACTTGAAATTACTTCGTGACGTCAAATTTCCTTGTACATTTTATTTATTTTTTCACTTTATAACTTCACAAACAATGCAAACGAGAATAGATAGCCACGACACAGGGCATGTTGATGTTTGAATTCTGTTCTAACTTCTGTTACGAAGAACAAAACCAAAATTAACGTTACGTTACAGAATTAATATCATATAAGCTAAAAGCTCAGAACTATTACAAGAAAAGGAAGAGTCCAATATACATACATACTCGATTACGTAGTTAAATAAGATAACAAAATTTACAAATTTGTCGATCGTAGATATGACCATTAACTCTGTGCCGTAGGAGGAAACTACCCAAGTAAGGCATTCTTATCCAGCGATGTATTTATTTATTTACACGTCTTTTTATCTTTATCACAACAAGCCCAAAACAATGTTCTAGTCTTGTCCATGCTTGTAAATAGATAGGATGTAGGCCAACGTTCAAACTTCCGCACAGCAGCAGCCAACCGGAAGGGTATCTATTGGTGTTCCGATCTAACGATTAGGACGGTCGGTTGACACGCTTACTTTTTAACTCTCTCAAGATATTGGCGTTGTATTGTTATTCCCACAGTAACCTGTGAGTTCAAGACCAAGAAGTTATTGTTTTATTTCCTGTTGTTATTCAAGTGATTAAAACTTTATAAACCCTTCAGTCATCAAGCATATTAAACTATTTTCACTCACTAAAATTATACCAAAATTTGTTGTTGTTTTTTTTTTGTTAGTGCAAAAAAGCTACATAATGAAATATTTACAATCTGACCACTGCGGGGAATCGGAGCCTGGAATTTAGCGTTGTAAGTCCGTCATGTTACCGCTGACCTCTCGGGGACTGTACTAAAATTAACAAAAACATAAGTAAAAGAAAATTTAATAAATATCCAAATACGAAATATTTCTAGAAAAAACTGACTTTTTCGTGTCATGTGATAAAAATGTGCGTACGTGTGTCCAAGTCGAAGATCAAAGAATTATTTTGTCGTGAAATATTAAACCCATAGATCAGCATTTTGTATGAATCGATAATTATTTCTGCTCTCACGTGCAGAACGAAAACTGTCTTCTTATTGGACAAATTTGTTTTCTTGGCACTTGGAGCTCAGCTGTCAGAGAGCTGTTCCAACTGAACAACAACAACCTAGCAACAGCGAGAACGACTGAATCAACCAATCAGATCACCAGACTAGAGCGGTTTCTGCGTATGAGCGGAATTATCCATCTGACAACGACAGTCAACCAGTGCAGAATAGTGCCCCCTCCCCTCAGTGGAACAGCGGTATGTCTGCGGACTTATAACGATAGAATACGGGTTTCGATACCCGTGGTGGGCAGAGCACAGATAGCCCATCCTGTACCTTTGTGCTTAATTACAAACAAACAAAGCAGAATAGTGGACAATAATCCACAGTAATGGACTTAATCATGCATATAAGATAACAAAAACAGTAGAAGAATGTATTACAAAACTCTTCCTCTTTCATTGTTAACATTTGAAAATGTGAACACACCAATGTAAATAACACTTTTCCAGTCGTTTCCTCTATGGTAATTGAAAATAGTATTACATGGAAGGTTAAACATAGGTATTTATCTTTCCAAACATAGGTAAAATCTAAGATGTCAAATCTTTGGTTATGGCATTATCACCTCCTTTCGCCCTATTATATAACCACAGACACACAATCTGAAATATAAGCTTTGTATTTATAAACTAAAATATGAAAGTTTATTAACACATTTCTGTATGATGGTGATTAAACACGTTTTATTGTTATTGATCAACAATGCATTTTTTTTGGAGTAAAGATGAACGGCGAAGTTTCTTTTCTGCTTTGTAAAAAAACTTTAATATGATTGCGCCAACAGTTGTGATTATTTTGAAAACATATAAATTAATCAAATTTTCTTACATGATTAAATTTTCAATAGCAACGCACGAAGCAAAAACGAGTCAAATGTTTAACTGTCTTGTTACTGAGGTAAAAAACAAAAATATACTAAATGTAATTTACAACTGTTCAGTTCGTCTGTCCATACATTTTCTATATACATCATAACAACATGCTTAGGTTAGCATGTTCTCTGAAAATAATTACATCTATACATCGTCAGTGACTTACCAAGAGATGATGACACTTTTCGTCCTGTTGACAGAAACACAACCGTCTTGGATCTAGTGCTCTTTTATTCTGGTTCACGTTGTGGTTGTATGTCAAAATAAAAGTAGTTATCATTCAGTGGCATCTTCAGCGCCCTCTAGTGCTAACGGGAAACGTGACGTTTGTCAGCTTTGCAAACACTTCATGGACGTGCAAATCGGCATGAAAGTCAGTTTGTATGTCTTTTTTCCCGCTTACCAAAGAGCCCAAACGATGGGGGAACCATATGAGAGGAAGTTTATACCTTAGTCCCAGGGGTCGTTGATCTATACTTCTCTTTGTAGTGCTTGCCCTTGGCCCACATTGGATCACAATACTATTTTCCCATTTAAGCACAAAGAAACTTTAGCATCGAAATTCGTAGTAATGGTTTATTTGGGGTGTTCCGTCAAACGTTTTCTTTCTCTAAAATTAAAGAAACTATCTAACCTGAAATAAAACTAAGGTAAACGAAACCTGTTGATCAAGATAGAACCCGATCTTAAAACATGTTTTCTATATAACTTTATTTTCTTACAAACGTGCAGAATACTGATGTCTGTCAGCGAATTTTCCTTTCTTACAGGCGTGTAGAATACTGTTAATGTTTGGTTCGAGCATGGCCTAGTGATTAATGTAATCAGACTGTGAATCCGAAGGTTCAGAGTTCGGGGTCCGTTGCCCCAAAAAACTCTCTCCACATTTAGGAGACGTAGGTGCACATTATGACAGTGACAGTAAATTTCACGATTAGACAAGACTTGTCCAAGAGGTAGCGGCGGACGCTGTTGATTAGCTTCTTTCCCATTAGTCTATCAGCTCAAAATTAGGAACAGCCATGAGTAATTAGCGAGATTATGAAACAAAAAAAACAAACTGCCAGATGCCTTATATATAAATAACTAGTCGTGACCTAAAATTACAAATAAGATATATAACAATGTTGTATTCAAAAATAAATTAGGTCAAAATATCTTCAAAGAGAAGACACATCATATTTGTTTAACTAAACGCCTATAGGTTTTTACTGTACAAGTTGAACAGGTTAGAGTCACCCCTAGCGTTGCTTGCTTGGTGGATTATCTTGGCCCCGATGTTACAAAAGGTGTAGTTAAATGTTTGTTTGTTTGTTATGGATTTCGTGCAAAGCTGCACGAGGTCTATCTGCGCTAGCCGTCCCTAATTTAGCAGTGTAAGACTAGAGGGAAGGCAGCTAGTCATCACCACC